CGTAGCCCATAAGGGTTGTACGAGGACTTTGTTAATTACCGAAAGTCGAGGGCAAGAGTAGCCCATGAGGATTGTAAACCGTGCATGACTTGTGTAGCCTACATCGAGCTTTCATAGTTTATGGATTACTGTAGTGGTACATTTGTGGCCTTAGTGCTTGTGTAGCACAATATGTTCAATTTGAGCTTTCGGTGTACAAAATACTAATTATAGATAGGGCCCTCTCATGTAAAATGAAGTTCACATGTGACATATTCGTGTTATGTTGTATCATCCCTTGATATTATGTATGCACCATACTTTGCTATTTGGACGTTATTATTCATAGTCGTTTTATGAATCTTGATGAATCGAGAATACTTTGGATTGAAGGCGAAAGCAGTCTTCTAATGACCAAGAGTACATTTGGATAACCAAGAAAGATGCTTTTCAAATTTGAGCGTCATCAAACTTTGGCCGCCGATTTTTATTAACTAGGACTCATCTCATTTTGAATAATCCCAATTTTGGACTTGACTGATTCTGATGGCGAAATACATTAGTAATAAATGAGACTTTACAATTGGGAAAATTAAAGGAAAACGTGTATTTAAGATTCCATTATCAAAAATCAGGTCATTAACTTAGTAACTAATCCCATAATTTAAGGATTAATATCATTACTATTTCAATTACAAAATTTGGAGAGAGAATATCTTCTTCGTTCTTACTAACTGATTTCAATTACAAAATTTGGGGAGACATCTTCTTCATTTTTAAAGCTTCTGCCTCATAGAAAGATCTCATCTCCACAAAATTTCCAATCATTCCCGCAACAAGAATGGCATTTATGAATCTACAATCCACCGCTTGGCTTTCGCCAAACACTTCAAATGGATAAAAGAAATTCTCAAAAATGAGAAGCAATTTAGATTGATGTTTTCAAGAAGAGCGTTTCTATAAAATTTGTCAAATTGTATAGACAATCGAGCAAGTTTGAAATTACGAAGAAAATGTTCAATGAAATGCCTGATAGAAACTATGCATGCACCGTACTTTGTTCTTTGGACGTTGTTATTCATAGTCGTTTTATGAATCTTGATGGATCAAGAATACTTTGGATTGAAGGCGAAAATAGTCTTCTAATGATGAAGAGTACATTTGGATAACCAAGGAAGATGCTTTTTGTTGGGTTTGTGACCCAAATTACGGTATTTTTTTTTTTTTTAAATAAATTGTTTCCTTATTTTCATGTGAGAAAAATTGTTTCATTATATTTCACGTGATTTTTTTATGGAAACATTTTATTTTCTTATTTCACATTATTTTCATTTTTATGCTATGCCATGTACCAATAAATAGTGGTATTCTCTTTCAGTTTTGTTTAAGTAAGAATTGTCGAGTTCTTGTATTTCTCTCAATATTGTCAATTAATAAAACGTCGTGCTTCTACGATTAACTTTCTTTGTTAATTTCTTTACTTTTAAATCTTGTTTCTCGTTGTAATTTTCATTACTTCATATTGTGTCATTAATTTCATTCACTACAATCCTTCCGGGTTTAACAAGTGGTATTAGAGTTTGGTTCTTATTGTGGATTGGTTGAGGTTTTTCAGAAATGGCTATTTTGAAGTATGATATTACGCAATTGGATCGCAATACGAGATTTTCTTCATGGAAAGTAAAGATGATAGCTATTTTGACGCAGTTGAATTTGGATGATGTGTTGCTGGATTTTGAGAAGATGCCAGCTAATTGGACAACGGAGGGATCAGAAGGCTTTGTCGTTGATTCATCTTCATCTATCTAACAATATTATGCAAGATGCCTTAAATGAGAAAATAACAGCTACTTTGTGGTTGAAACTAGAGCAGTTATGTATGAGCAAGAGTTTTACCAGTAAACTGACTCTAAAGCAGAAGCTGTATTCCTATCACATGACGGAAGGAGGGTCGTTGGAAGACCATATTGTCGTGTTTAAGAAAATTGTCGCAGATTTGGAGACGTTGAAGGTTAAGTACGATGAAGAGGATCTTGCCTTGATCCTGTTATGTTATCTGTCTGGCTCTTATGCGTCGTTTCGTGACACCATTTTGTATAGTCGGGATACCTTAACTAGAGATGATGTTTATGATGATTTATACTCAAAGGAGAAGTTGGAGCTACATCGAGGGATGAGAAAACTTTGGATGGTGATCGTCGGAGGGGTAGATCGAGGACGAACTTCAGCAATTTGTACTGATTCTACTACAGGAGAAAAGGACACATAAAGAAGGATTTGTGACAAGTTGCAGAATAGTGGTGATTTAACTGCAAATTATAGGTGACAATTCTGTAATTCGAATGTGCTAATGTTGTCGAGAATTTTTTGAATGGCGGTGATGTGTTGTTGACCATGACGTGGAGTCCAAAACTGACAAGGAGTGAATTCTCGATTCGACATGTTCGCATCATATGTGTTCCAATCGAAATTTCTTTCAGATGTATGATGTTGTCAAGCAAGGTGGAGTTGTGATGGGATACAACCATTTTGCCTTATTATTAGAATTGGTCGACTCAGACTAAGGTTAAATAATGGGACAATCAGAACAATTGATCAGGTTCGACATGTTCCAGACCTGAAAATGAATCTTATCTCGCGGAGTACCCTGGATACAAAAGGGTATAAATTCTCTGGTGAAGGTGGAATTTTGAAGGCTCGAGGGGTGTCCGGGTTGTACTTGAGGGATGGAGAAAGTTTCAGTTGTACATCTTGTAGGGAAATGCAGAACCAATTAAGAAACATTTGGACAAGTTTAGTATCGTGGTGGATATACCATTTGGTACAGTACCTCTTGTGGCGAGCTCTAAGTTGGTTAAGAACACTGCTAGGAAGAGCATTGGTGATTCTGCTTTGTCACCAATTTCATCAGATACACTATGTTCATTTGCTAGGATTGAACTCATAGAGCGTAGGTACCATGATGTCAATAATGTTTGGAATGCTTTTGGGGACGTTGAAGGCGACAATTATATCAAGGGGCCTTCTGATCTAGCATGTGGTATGGTTTCTGCTACAAGATGTGCTTCGACCATGTTTGGTCAACAGTAATTCCTCAGTGAAATTTTGGGAACCTGGGATTTTGGTTTATGTATCGCTAGTGGCTTACAGAGAATGACGGTTTGGTTTGGAGAGTTTTGGTTACTGTGTTGAAGAGATTTGTTATTTTGATGCAAACAAATTTGAAATTTTGGAGTTTCGTTCTCTGCACCGAAATTTGGATCAATGTGGAGATTGTTAGGTTTGTGATCCAAATTAGGGTAGATTTTTTTGGAAATAAATTGTTTCCTTATATTTCACGTGATTTTTTATGGAAACATATTATTTCCTTATTCCACATTATTTTCATCTTTATTTTATCTGATATACCTATGAATAATAATCTTCTCTTTTAGTTTTGTTTAAGCGAGAATTACTGAATTATTGTATTTCTTTCTATATTGTCGATTAAAAAAGGTCGTGCTTCTGCGATTAACTTTTTTTGTTAATTTATTTGCTTATAAATCTTGTTTCTCATTGCGATCTTCATTATTTCATATCGTGTCTTAATCTTATTCACTACAATCCTTTCGGGTCTAACACTCGTCGAATTTGAGTGTCAACAAACCAGCCTTTAAGCCCTCAATGGCAAGACTTGGTCGAACTGTGATTTTTATTAACTAGTTTTCTACCTGTATCTTTTGTCAAACACATGCAAGGACTCATTTTGTATAATTCCACTTTTGGACTTAAGTGACTCTGATGTTGAAATGCATTAGTATAAAATGAGACATAACAATTTGTCATGCAACGGTACAATTATCATGTCCAGTTGGCCCAATTTCCCCCCAACAAAAACAATGACTCTTCTGGCAATGGGTAAGCCTGCACCTTCAACCAAACCCAATCCAATTTTGCCCTAGAAAGCTAGAATTCGGCCACAGAACTGGGGCCCAAAATTTGACTTATTCGTAAGCTGAGTTGGCCCATCAGCTAATCAAATTGCAGCCATTTTAGAAAGTTGATTAAAATTTAAGTCAAAGTCAATAATTATAAATACACATTTTATCAACTTTTATCAAACTCTACTAAAATTATTATCTTTATCTTAAATAACCAAAAGTACCGTACTTGATACGATGTGGTGGTTGCTCGTGGGCTTTCCGAATATAACAATTTGAATTCATGGTAAGTCTTGATTCCATTTGGGGAAAGATGATGCACACATTAGGCCCAAAATTTACTTTCTTGTTTAGGAAATGTCCTGGCCGTTGATGAGTCCTACGGCATGTCTAGTGAAAATCGGATCACAAAGTGACCAAGGACTATATTATGACGGACTACAAGCATAGCCTCCCTTCTATTTTGTGTGATATGTTGAAAAGTCACATGTTACTTAAACGAGGCAAGGAGCATATTTCTCATCCCTAACTCAGAATAGGGTCTTTAATCCCATTCCGCTTGAGGTTGGTCTATTAAGAATTGGGGCAAGCAGTCGAGTATATGTCATCTTATTTCTCATCCCATTATATGATCACACGTGTACTCTGATTGCCAAGAATCAAATTAAAAAAAAAAATAAATAAATTTGCATTTCCGTAATGTATATCAAAATGAATAAAACGGAGAATGATTGTACTTCAAATAGTGGATGGTCATGTGGGATGAGAGAACAACGTGATGATGGAGTAATAACAAATGTTGACTAATAATTTTGTGGTCGAACGTGTGGAATAATTAGGTTTGACCATGGACAAAATTATGGGCCTTTAATTATGAGACACGCTCAATTTACTTTTAACTCTAAAGCAAATATTTTTTGTCAAATGCAAACAAATTCCCCGCCAAACTTTCGACCAATCTATGCTTCTTCACGTTCATTTAGATACATTCACTTTTCTCAATTAATTGTATATAATATTATATATATATTTTTTAACTTTGTCCATTGTGAAAATCCCCTGTATTGAATGTGTGGAGTTTAATATATTAAATATTTGAAAAAACTCGCAATGTAGTATGTCGTGATCTATTTCCCAAGTATATAGAAGATATTACGGTGATCCTTCTTTCTTTATGAACGTCGTAGTAAAGACCAATGGAGAGTTCGAGTTTAGAACGTATTATAATCAATTTTTTTTTTTTATATAAAACAATTAAATAATGACTCGTAACTCTCACTTACATCGTGTGTTTTCCTTGCTTTTGAATTTTTTTTTTCCCTATTTCATGTTTGGACCTTTTCTTGATTTGAGTGTCATCCTTCAACAGGACCATGCTCATCTTCTTTGAATCATTTTTAATTTTACAGAATGTTTTGAAGAAATTTCACGTTATTAATCGTTCATAGTAGTATGGATTCTTGATTCTTCATTTAATCCATATGTATTGAATATTCAGTTGTCGAATTTAGCTTGAATCTTTTTACAATTGTTGTGTGGTAGAAAGCAACGTGCGACTTGAAAGATAGAGCCCCCATTTAAATTTAATAAATGATTACTTGTAAATACTTATAATGTATGCATTACAAGCGGGATACAAAGTTCGTGTACTATATTTTCTAAATAATTAAAGTTTTTTTATTCAAAAGAATGCTATTTGCATTATCTATCTTATTCGACTTACACTCACATTTTCCAAAGGTATTATCTTAAGAAAAAAACAATGTAAATTACATTTCTAAATAAAAAATTAGAAAAAAAAACTAGCCTCCTTAATCATTCCTAATACTATCTGCATATTATGCCCCCGTTTGAACCCCATTATTTCTCATTACATTAAATTAAATTTTTCTCTCTCTTTTTTTTAACTACACAATTTTCAATAAAATAATATTACACGTAAATCAAAAAATTTTCAATCACTCATTTTTCAAAAAAATAATATTTATCTCATTATAATCTACAAATAATGGGGTTCAAACGGCCCCTATATCTACTCTAATTTTATGCGCATTTTCTATGTATGGGTCAAAAAAATAAGTAGGATGACACAAATAAATGAATGTATAAATATGATTATTTCAATTGATATTATAAAAAATTAAGCCCCGTTTGATTTTGATTCTTGTAAAAATGAGAATGAAAAATATAATCGTTATAGAATCCACACAAAAGATAGAAAATCAAATATGATAATTTAATGTGATAAATAACGATCATATATATATATATATATTGTCAAATAATGAAAAACAAACGGATCCTAAATCGAATTTTGAAGCGATTCTCAATTTTTGAATCGAATTGATCTACACGTGTCGATAATTATAATCCGTGGGGCCAAGGTGTCCCCTTCACCTCGCTCTTGTTTCCCCCACAAACAAACACGATTTCTTTTTCTTTTTCTTTTTTCTGAATTCTCTTTTTCTAAATTCTGATTTCTTTTAATAAAGCGATGGCTTTCTTTAGTCAAGAGAGAGAGAAAAAGACGGCCTCCTCGTCACATCATATACACTACCCTTTTCACTCCATCGCTAATTTACAACGCCATTTTTTTATTCAATAAATAAATAAAATTGCCGACTTCTTCAAATCTTTTACCACTTGCATGCAAGAGTATTTGCACGACATCGTGATCTTATATTCGACAAAGTTTAGACGATTTCATGAATTATATGTACAATGAAAAGTTTAACAATTATAATCTATACACTAAAGCTTATTCCTTGTCATCATACGTAGAGTGAAGTGTCTCTCTGATTCTTCATTGTTTTCAAACTCTACCTAAAGAAACTTATGACCAAACTCAAAATTCGAAAAGTTTAAAACTTCCTCATAATTTTCATGGAAGTGTTCATTGGAAAAAATGGGTGATTTGTGTGCAGATAAATTATCAATTAATAATATAAATAGATAATTTTACAATTGCATAAACATAGCAATATTATAGCAATATAAGCATTATAATTCAACAATAAGACGAGGTTTAGAATACAAGCCTTAGAGTGTCATGTCAATAATGTTGTTCTCTTTGTGCGTGTTCTTTCGATACTACACGGCTTCAAAATAAAAATCTATGTGGTTCACAGTTGGTTCTCCTTCTATGAGTAGGATCATAAGGAGATAAGTGAACGAACTTTTTTGAGTTGTCAAAACTATAGAAATATAGTATGAAATATAGAGATTTTTTATTTTCATTTTTCTTCTCGATGAAAAGTACTCCCTTTTATAGGGATAAATTTAACTCCCACAATAATGATAATTATTCCAATTAAAATATAAGTTACATTATGAAATTATGAGTTTTAATTTTTAAATTAAATCTGAAAAATAACGGAAAAACTAAAAAATATTGAGTTTTATTTGAAAGTTTGAAACTTAATTTATGTTACAACAGTATCTTAAAACATCCCCTACACATTCTCTTATCCTCAAGTAGAGAAACCTAAGATCTATCTCATAATCTTTGTGCTCAATCAAATACAAACATAAGGCCATCTACAGTGCTGCACCAAAATTTGTACCATTTTACACCAAATTTTACACTAATTTTACACCAAATCAAAATTCTTCTTCAACCATTACATCAAATGAACAGTGCTTTATTATTTTATTTATTCATTCATTCAATTTTTGTCAATGTATTTATTTAAAAAAATTATTTATTTATTTTATAATTATATAAATTACTAAAAAAATCATAACTTCGTTAAATTAACAAATATATTGATTACTAAATTATTCACGTGTTTTATATATTATGTTAAATTGACAAAAATAATTGATTATATTATTAATTTATGATAAACAATTATGTTAAATTTACAAAAATAATAAACTTTAATAATATAAATTTTATGTTAAATTAAACTTCTAACGTAAACTTTATGAATTAAACTTTACATTAAATCAACAATTATGTTAATTATTATTGATTATATTGTTAAAAATAATAAACTTTAATAATATAATTAATAGTGTAATAAATTATTATTATCATTATCGTTATAGAACAAAAATGACACAAATATCCTTAATCATGATCTTTGAAAAAGAAAAAATAAGGGCAAAACAGATATTACACCATTTGGCGCAAAAAAAAATGGTGTAATGAATAGTGTTGCACCAAATATGGTGTAACACTATTCATTTTGCACCATTTTATTTGGTGTTGTATTGGAGCAACTTTGCACCAAAAAATGGTATAATTGGTTAGCATTGGAGTTGCCCTAAGATTCATGTCATTCAAGCTCTCCCAACACCTCTTTCTTACTCACGTCTTGTTTCATTGATTCAACATAACTAAATCATCCTCATTACAATCAATCATGCTACATGATCAGAATCAATGACAGAATTTTTTTCAAACTACACTTGACAAAATTTCATTAGAAGTTAGAAAAATTCTAACAAAATACAAAAACACTTAATCATAAACTGTGACGTCACTTTATTTTTCTTCCCTGTTTTTTTCCTGTTATCATAGTCATAGAATTTCAAGTCTTATACAATCCACCTCAACCAATTACTGCTAAAAATCAGGACGGATGTGCTCTTTCTTTTCCAATTTATTTTGCAAATATGTCATTGTCTAACTCATTCTTTTAGATTGCGGAAACTTGCTGAGTGTTTGTTTGAGCTCCATATTTTAAGAATGAATTTTGTGAAGTATGATTAAAAATAAAAACTAAAAAAACATTTTGAATATTAAGAGAATGTACCATTGAAAATTAGCCCCTATTTGGTGATCATTTTTTTAAATAAAATATTGTTTTGAATGGTGAATTTAATTGGTGAATTATTAAATACATGAGATCTACCATTAATTTATTCAGCAATTAAATGGCGCGTCATGTCACCAGGCTTAACATAAGCTAAGTACCGGTGCTTATTAGATCATATTTCTCTCTTTCTCTCTCTCTATATATACACACACGTGAATGATCTCCTAAACATCGGTACTTAATTTATGTTAAGCATCAATAACATGTCACGATAATTAATTGGTGAATCATTAAATTCATAGGATTTACTATTAACTTATTCACCAATTAAATGGTGTACCATATCATCGATACTTAACTTAAGTTAACCATTGGTGTCCATTAGACATCCATTTTGTTGTTGGAAAATGAATTTTAGACTAGCATATTGATGGAGAATGTGTAGATAAAAAACAAAGAAATTTTTTTGATTTACGAATAATATTATTTTAATGAAAATGTGTGATGAAAATAAAGAAAGAAAAATGTAATTTGATA